GAACTGTGATCAGGAAAATTTATTTCCTGTGAACTGTGATCAGCAATTTTAACATTTCGTGAACCGTGATGAATCCCCCCCCCCCCCCCCCCCATTACCCCCTCCCTCATATATGAATCATTGTATGGGGAGCCATTGGTAAAATTAAATAGAACTATACATAACTATGTACTTGTGTGTATATGGTACCTAATGAGAATAAATAAAAGATTAAAGGATTAGCAAATTTTAAAATATAGTCTGAATGAAACAATATTGTTGACTTTTTTATTGTTTTGATTTTCAAATTATTTGTATACGTTTTCTATAATACGTATGCCTTATATGATACTTTTTAAAAGGTTTAATATATTGTAAACTGTTTCAAAAAAAAAAAAAAATTCAGGGTGCATTTCTGATCCTAGATGCTACTTGAGCTAGATTGGTATCGGGTCCGTTCGCCCTGATTACATGTTCGCCCTGTGTCCGTTCGCCCTGAGTCCGTTCGCCCATAGAGTCCGGTCGCCTTGGGTTCGTTTGCCCTACTTTAAAAAAAAATTTATATAGTGGTGTTAAAGTTTAATAAATTTATTCAGATAATTATATGATCAATATTAAAGATAATTCCACCTTTTTTAATAATGCTGTATTTTGATTGGATGAGAGAAATGGTATTTTTTACAAATTTTCTATATATTGAGATTTTCTTTTCTCTGCCGGTGTATTTGTCATTAGAGAATTCCATGTGCCGGGGTATTTGCTAGCAAATACCATGGAAGATGGGAAATACCATGTCTAAAAATAGCCCCATGAATTATTTCTATTCTAAGAGGACAAATTGATGGTTATTCTTTATATACTGCAACTCCTACAACTGTTCCAAATGAAATATTTAGGGTAAAAACCATCATTTTTGAATTTGGAGCGAACGACGTAAAAATTCTGCGAACCTGCGGCTCTTTTCACAAAAAATCTTAAGAGTAAAAATACTCGTAAGTCATACACATTTCAGTATAAATTACGCTCAATTTTAATCGTAAGATTTTTTGTGAAAAGAGTCGCTGTACCTTTAATGACGTCATAAATACAACTCTACGGAAACGCATTGTCAACGTCATAAATAAGGCGATATACGGTCAGTGACTGTACATCAGAAATGATTATACAGTCAATGCAAATTGACTGCGCAAATAGCACACCTGCAGTATATACAAAACGTATACAGTTAAGCAGAAACTTCATAGGATACTTGATTACAATAAAAATTCTGAGGTCAAGATGGATACAAAGAACATTCGGTGGAATTAAACAATTATATCATGCTTACAAGGGGTATTTGCAAAAAATACCGGTTTCGAGATAAAACAAATTTCCCTCGCCTAACGGCTCTGGAAATTTGTTTACCTCTCAACCGGTATTTTTGGCAAATATCCCTTGTAAGAATGATATATTTGTATAAAATATATATTCTCGAAATTCATGAAAAAAACGTGGAAATATTTAAAAATGAATGGCTTGTTTTGGAGCATTAATTGGCTTCATTCTTACATTTGTTTTATTTAGAATTAATTTTAATGACTGCTGATTGTAATTTAGAATGCTGATTAGGTATAATTATGATGTCTTTGATCTCACTTATGTTTGTATTAATTGTCCTAGGTGGATTGATTAAATGAAAGTGACATTTTTTTTAAATAAACTAGTCCGCTTGGAATGAGTAATAGCAAAGATGTACAAATTGTAAGACATGAAAGGTTTTTTTTCGCACGCAGCTTTGGCTTCTTTGAAATCAAGTTTGTTTTGACACATTTCCTATATATGTGCTCTTTAAAATAATAGTTGGTAAGGGACATAACTGGTGTGTGATGCGAAGTTCGAATTGGACCTTGTTATAACTGTTAATGATTGTTTTGAAATTGTTAAAATGTATCAATAAAGATAAATACATGCAGATAACATGGCCATCAGTTGTTTTATATTCCCGTAACTCTACATTGCAGATTAAAGGAAAACATTTTTTTGGTAGCAGCAATACAACATAAATATCCGGCGAAATTTTGAACAAACTTTTACATACTCTTTAAATAATAAACATTATACAAAAAGACAACAAAATAAAAATAATCAGAGCGAACGGACCCAGGGGGAACAGGTATAAGGGCGAACGGACCCAGAACGAACAGGTATTAGGGCGAACGTGAATTAGGGCAAACGGACCCGGATTCAGCTAGATTTATAATAATACCGATCGGCAATCCTCGGGTGAATCCGCTACTCTCCTTCTATCCAATCCGTTGGATGAAGGTACGGAATCGGCCAAGTTGTGACAAATGATAACAATACATGTATTATCGATTTTGATATACAGATACAGCTGCAGAATATCTAGCTGCATTTCCTGTAGACCAAATAGATCGCATTTAACAAAATTTAATGTAATAAAAAGAATTACTTGTCTAATTTGCATTGTACAATTAAAACTAGTACTTATTACTCAAGACATCAGCATCAAAATTAACAACAAAGACCTATAAACTATATAATCTAGGAGAGTGAATAATTTGTTGAATTTTAGGCTTAAACCATTACATATGAAAACGATAAAACTATAGGAGATCTATTCAATTGAACTGATCCCGTTTGCCCAAAAGAAAAACAAGGAACTCCAGAAAAGGTTCTAAATATGAATGAAATTAATTAATTTATATCAAGATAAACAGATATAAATAAATGATTTTTAGAAACTTACAACGCAAGTCTGAAAGATAATTCAAATCTCAAACGACCGGACAAAAACAACAATCAAGCGTGTCGGTCTTTTTTATTAATTGGCCCTACTCAAACTTTTTATTGCAAATTATTTCAAAGTACACGAATACTCCAACATGGCATAGAAGTTATTGAATTTTGTCCGAATATCCGAATTTCACCAGGTTTTTACTTCCCTAGCTTGAAGCTTAAAAAAAGCTACGTTCATTAATATTGATATATATAGATTCTACCACTGCATCGAGTGTGATACGATATTTATCCACTCGAGACAGTTAAATTTTCAAATTTAAAACGCGAGGCTCGCCGAGCGTTTTAAATATTTAAAATTTAACTGTCGAGAGTGGATAAATATCGTATTACACGAGATTTGGTGGTGGAATCTGTTTCTCTAATGATTTTCAAACAATATGCAGGCAAACATATTCCTTCTTTTTGAATGATCTACAAAAAGATGTGTTCTTTCTATGTGACGTCATCAGGCATGGTCGCCTTTTTTCATGCCGTCACAATAGGAAATTCAGAGGAAAGCAAGAAAATTCGACGTCATAATCGGATTTGAACCAATGAAGAACTGAGATCAAACGAACCACACGTTGATTAATTTCTTTTTTTACAATGGGTGCAGAAAGGGATAAATTGACGAAGAATTAGAGAAATATATATATATATTATATGTTGTTATAATTTTAATATTGCAATTTCAATAATTATTTTTTTATCTAAACATTCGAACGCGATACATAATTTGTATTTTTTATACCAAGTAGATTAGTACGGTTTTACGTTTTAAAAATTCTGAAAAAACAGCTATTTATCACTTAATCAATTTTTGGACCATGCTGGAACAGTTTGGGAGCAGTACTTTAAAAATTATTGACTATTTTATTAAATCTTTATGAAATCAAACGAAAAAAATAGTTTTTAACAACCATTACTGAAAATCAAGTATCACAGAGATGCAGAGTTCTCAACTGTATGATGAACATGTGTACCTCTTTTATCATGGCCCGTTTGATCGACATATGTGTTACCTTTTGCAATTGACATAAATTTCTTTTTTGACTATTTTGTAAAAATATAAATAGATGCGGGACTGTTGATAATAAGGGAGCTACCATTTGATTTTTATGGGGGGCTAGGATGAAAAATGTTGTCCTGCCTTTTTATTTTTCCCTCTATTCGGTCCAGCTTTTTTATTTTTCACTCTATTCAGTCCTGCCTTTTTTTTTTTATCCTGACTTATTTTACATAAATTGTCATCCTGCCTTTTTTTTTCACCCCCAGTTTTTGGTGGGGTTCGTGTTGCTCATTCTTTAGTTTTCTATGTTGTGTTTTGTGTACTGTTGTTTGTCTGTTTGTCTTTTTTTTAGCCATTACGTTGTCAGTTTATTTTTCTACTTATGAGTTTGGATGTCCCTTTGGTATCTTTCGCTTCTCTATTATACCGCTCGATAAACCTTTCCCTTCCTATATTTTTAAACCTAAAACCCCAAAAAAGTTATATTTATCTATCTTTTACGTATTATTGTATACGGTATGATATTTTGTTTGATTTTTCTTTTTCTTGAGGGCCTCGGTGGCCTAGTGGTCAACGTAGTTTATCTACAGTGCTAACTACCCTGTCAACCCCGAAGTTGTGAGTTCTAATCACCCTCGTAAAAAGGTGCGTTCGACTCCGATCTTAATTGACTTAATTGCAAGTTTTCCTATCATTTTTATGATTAGGTGTGATTGTAATATTTCCATAATACTTTTCTTTTGTTCATTTAGTTTATTGTAGGTATGTATACAGGTCAATCTGATTAAAATTCTGATCCATATTAACTCGCGTGCTCTTATAGGCTCATAGGAGTATAACGAAATCAGAGAACTATATTTTAATTAGATTGGTATACAAGTTTTAAAGGAAGAGACACATGCAGATTTCTTAAAAATGATCATATGACTAATATTTAGCGTCTATTGTTGATACTAGAAGTAGTTACTTTATGACCGAGAGTTAGCACGTGTTGAAATATGTGGGCGACTGGTGGCCTTTAGAATTTGTATCATTGATGATTCCTCTAATTTCTTGTATTTCAAAAAGTCAACTAGGATATAGGGCAACACAATATCCTGTAAATTATATCCTTATTTGGTAAATATTTTGAAAAAAAGTGGATGTCCGTTCTATATTAAAGCTTTACGGCTTCAAAAATGTGTCCGTTTCCGTCGTTTATTTCAAAATCGCATCCAACATTTAAATTAGTACACGAAATTTCATAGCAGAGCAACGGAGTATGTTTCTACTGAACAGACGTAAGTCATTAATAAAATTCATTAAGGGGCAATTTGAATCTAAAACATTTAAATAAATTATATATATATTTTTAATATAGACTGTGGTGATGTAATGAGAGCTTTTTCTATCACTAAACTAAATTTGACTAATTTGTACCTCAAATATATAAATACCCTCATGTATACTTAAACATCTTGTTTTATATATGTAACAACTCGATTCTTGTATTCGCCCAATCGAACATTAGATTGAACCTTTCTGTGTGTAACCGGAGAGCATGATTCTTGTGAGAAAATCACATTGTCTGCACCGGGACTGGAACGTGGGACCTCTGTGTTACAAGGCAGCGCTCTAACCAACTGAGCTAAAGAAGTACTTCACTAGCTCATCCGCTTACGGTATAATAAGTATCTACTACATGTACTAAGGGAAGCAATCCCGTCACACTTCCCCCACCTCAAGAGTTATCATACCATTATGACTCAAACAACACACACTCTAGCTAGAAATCCTCTCTAACAACCGTGGGTTCTTTAGTTGGGCGCCAAATGTAACCGGACTGGGAGAGGAGAGCATGATTTATATTACAAATCACTTTGTCTCCACAGGGACTCGAACCCGAGACCTCCTATGTTACAAAGCAGCGCTCTTACCCACTGAGCTAAAGAAATACTTCCCTGGCTCAAACGCTTACGGCTGGCTAAGTATCTACTACATATACTAAGGGAAACAATCCCGTCACAGGTGGTTGTGTCATTAGCCTGCGTGGAGAGATTCAGATTAACACAGGGACCAATGTTGAAAATGCCAATGTATGATTTATTAGAATTGATTTAAAAAAAAAGATCTCATCTGTTGTAAATCTGCAACTGTTTAACTGACCATAAAGCTATAATGCGGTGAACATATTTCCTTTTAACTTCAGGTCATAGTCTTCTCTTTGGAAAGCTACTTTTCGTTCTAATTCAGATTGGTAAGTAATTTTAATATAAAAATAAGGAGATGTGGTATGATTTCCAATGAGACAACTATCCACCAAAGTTCAAATGAAGTTGATGTAAGCAATTATAGGCAACCGTACGGCCTTCAACAATGAGAAAAACCCATACCGTATGGTAGGCTATAAAAGGCCCCGACATGAAAAATATGAAACAATTCAATTGAGGAAACTAACGGCCTAATTTATCAATTTAACAAAACAATTTACGAAAAACAAGTATGGCAGACATTAACCAACGACAACCACTGAATTACAGGCTACTGACTTGGGACAGGCACATACAGATTGTGGCGGGGTTAAACATGTTTGTGAGCGCTCAACCCTCCCCTTACCTTGGACAGTGGTGTAACAGTACAACATAAGAACAAACTATAAAAATCATTTGAAAAAGGCTTAACTCATCAGATGGATACAAATAGAAATACATTTAACAAAAACACAGAGTGGACGTGGACGGTTACTTATACATGCCCACATTAATGTTTTTACAGATATTCTCTTTTTTTAATACATTACAAACAGAATAATGCATTTGTTATTCAATTTGCACATCAGATATCTTTTTTCAGTCTTAACTAATATTAAGGTGAGAAGTCTTCCTCATGTCTTGAATGTATCAAATCATTTGATCTGTACATTATTTCATCATTCTTCCCTTCGCATATGCACATAACACCATGCTCACTCACTCCATAATTATTGTATTTCGAATTTGGTACGCGAGCAGAACTTATAAGTGACGTAGCAATGTCTGAAGTTTTAAGTTATCAGCGACGTCACAATGTGTCAGAAGGCGTTATCAAGCTTTCTTTCGCTAATCGTAAAATTGTCTAAAGAAGCTACGAAGAACTGACCAGAAATAACACGCAACAACAAACGTCAAACAGATTGTCGTGTTTTCTGTGTATACATATCGTAACATATTAGCCGTTTGACACAATGCGAAGCTTCCTTTTCTGGTCTTATTCGCCAAAAAGGTTCACATTATGGTTCGCGGCTGATATATTACGATAGCAATGTGTAGAAAACTGAATATAAATTTAAGAGCAAAATCTTTGTTACACAAAAACTGAATCTTTATGTTATTTTTATGTTTATAATATTAAATTTATACATTCAACTATGCTCTGTTGTCATCTTACTTTTCTGTCATATTTTTCTGTTGTCAAACACCGAAAACTGTTTGCTATTTGGAATTTAAAAAATATGTTTATACTTTAGAGGTATAAACAAAAATTTCTCTGATTTACATAATGAGCATTTATATTGTACTATTTTTAGGTGAGGGTTTAAGCAAAACACATGTTATTGATTATATGAAAGAAAATTCCACAGCTGTTATTGAATGTCAATTCAAAAGTGTATCAAATAGTATCACTTGGATTGTGATTGATAAAAATAACTCGTCAGAAAAATTAACACTTGCAATTGACAAAATTATTAACCAAGGCTTTGAAAATTTCAAAGTTGTTGGTAATCATACCAATGGCGAATACAATCTTGAATTACAACGTGTAACGAAGGCTGACGAAAAGATCTATAAATGCGTATCAAATATTAACAAAAGTCCACATGAGATTGAGATATCAGTCCTTCTGTCAAGTAAGTATGATTTAAATTTATGGCTTCCTTGTGTGCATAATTGGATACATTTTAAAATTCAATGCTGTCTCAACAGTAAAAGACACTATTTCTCTTTATGAGATATGCAATGTGTCATGGATAACCATTCACGTCCGATCTCATTTAAAATACTTCCTTATATTCACGTCATTTGAACTCTGTTGGATAGTTGTCTCACTGACAATCATACCACATCTCCTTATTTTTATATTGACGTAGACAATACCAAGGGACAATCATAACTTACGTGTTGAAAAGAAACCGACAAAGTCATTGCAAATAAAAAAACGACGAAAATAGAAACCAGTTTACAAAAGACTTTAAGTATATGCATTCCAATTGAAAATTGTATTTAGCTTTTTTTTAACGATGTGCTTGCGTTTGTGAAAATTTTGGAAAGTATTCCAAAGCTGCCAAGCAAAGAGAAGCATCCGTCTGGATAATTTTTGTAGAACGTTCTAGCAGTTTTTTAAGTTTTGTAAAGATATTTTGAGGCGGGTTCAGGCGACGAAATTATATGATTTTCTTTTAATTTTTCGTCAGATTTAGTTGTTCAAAGTCATATTCCTCGGACAAAGCGCAATAACTCAGATCTTTATTATAGGAATAGATCAGCTCACCTGGATTTGGCAAAAGCCTTCGGAATTTGATTTCCTCAATCAATGCTCTTTACCTTATGCTTTTTTGCCTTTTTAACTTATATAGTTTAAGGGTCCTTGTGAGTCTTTTGTAGACTAAATGCGTGTCTTGTGTACCAAATTTTAGTCCTGGTATCTATGATGAGTTTATCGGTACATTGTAAGCATTGTATGTGTTTTACCTCTATGAGTGATGTTCTCTTTCTTACAGGTACCTAATCGGAAAAAAATAAAGACAATTTGGATGCCCTTGATAATGTTTGAATAATCGTTATGTTGTCTGTTGTAGAATGCTATTTTTTACATCATTTTGCTATTCCTTTTGGAAACTTTGAAAATTTAGTAGGGATACCTACACTATACAGAAAACTAAAGACAGCAAAACGAACCCAAATTGAAAGCTGGGGATGATCTCAGGTTCACCGGAGTTGTGAGCAGTTCCTTCTTTCAAGGGATTCAAAGGGCGATATTTCAAGGGTGCATGAATTCATTAGAACAAATCATTGAAATTTGTGGTGTTCGGTTTTAAATTATTGTTCAATCCACCACTCTTCTTCAAAAATATGACACTATAATTGCTTATTTTCTCATGCATGCAGTATTTTAAAGAAATTTTCCCTAAAAGTAACTACTATGTTTTTAAATAACAATTTAGAGGTGATGAAGTGTATTAAAATTGAGAATGGAAATGGGGAATGTGTCAAAGAGACAACAACCCGACCATAGAACAGACAACAGCAGAAGGTCACCAACAGGTCTTCAATGCAGCAAGAAATTCCCGCACCCGGAGGCGTCCTTCAGCTGGCCCCTAAACAAATATATATACTAGTTCAGTGATAATGAACGCCATACTAAACTCCAAATTGTACACAAGAAACTAAAATTAAAAATAATACAAGACTAACAAAGGCTAGAGGCTCCTGACTTGGGACAGGCGCAAAAATGCGGCGGGGTTAAACATGTTTATGAGATCTCAACCCTCCCCCTATAACTCTAGCCAATGTAGAAAAGTAAACGCATAACAATACGCACATTAAAATTCAGTTCAAGAGAAGTCCGAGTCTGATGTCAGAAGATGTAACCAAAGAAAATAAACAAAATGACAATAATACATAAATAACAACAGACTACTAGCAGTTAACTGACATGCCAGCTCCAGACTTCAATTAAACTGATTGAAAGATTATGTCTTCATCATATGAATATCAGGCACAATCCTTCCCGTTAGGGGTTTAGTATCATACCATCATAACATATATGAGAAGAACATAACCCGTGTCATGCCAACAACTGTTTTTTTTAAAATAAATGTGTTTAGTGCCGATGCAAAGACGCTATAAGTGAATCAATATTAACGCCAAAATATGCAATCTTTAATGACCTGACAACAGTAGCGTAACTATATCCCTTCTTAATAAGTCTATTTAAAGGTTTTGTTATCTTCAGAGGTGAATACTGACATTTTTGTGCTTTATAAAGAATATTTCCATAAAAAATTGGATGTGAAATACCTGAACGTATAAGAAGTCTGCATGTTGAGCTATATTTACGAATGATGTCCTTATACCGATGATAAAATTTAGTAAATGTTTTGACTAGTTTGTGATATCGAAAACCCTGGTGTAATAATTTTTCAGTAATACATAAATTTCTCTCGTTAAAATCTAAAACATTGTTACATACACGAGCGAATCGTACAAGTTGAGATATATAAACACCGTAAGATGGTGACAAGGGAACGTCACCATCTAAAAATGGATAATTAACGATGGGAAATGAAAAATCATCTCTTTTATCATATATTTTAGTATTAAGCTTTCCATTAATGTCTATACAGTATATGCATAACCAAAAGTATATTGCACTATTTTACATTTTTCTTGTAGTCATGTTATTCATTTCCAGTGTACTAATTATTCTTTTTTCCTAATACAAGCGCCGAATGATGAAATAAAGATAGTGAATGTCACTGAATCAAATACTGTTGTTGGTGTAAGTGGAATATCTTTAACTTTGGAATGTATTTCTGTACATCAGCACCTTAGCAACATTTCGTGGTCATCGAATGGCAAAATAATTAGTCAAAGCCAGGGGAATTTGACTGCCTATGAATTCATTCCAAGTGAAGAAAATCAAAATTCTATATACACATGTACTGCAGTTTATATAGGAAAGACAATTCGGAAAAGTGTCCGATTGAATCTCGTACGTAAGTCTTCAGGTAATATGTTTGTATGCATGTATCTTTATTTCTCTTTTATATCAAAGCTTTATAATCAAGTAAATAGGGCCATGTGAGCTATTATCATCATTTTTCGTTCATCATCCACCTGTCATTAGACAGAAGTCGTTTTCATTAACTCCTCTGTAACCAAGTTGCCCATTTAAATCAAACTTTTTAGGAATATCAAATGGAAGGTTCTGATAGTATGAAGCGCATGGAAACCAGAGGTAAATTTTTCATTTCTGATTGGCCAATTTTAAATTATCTTCTCCTTTTAAACAACAAGGCGCAATATTTTGAAACTTTTAGGGATTAATGATTGGAAGATCATATACAATCAATTCTCATTTTACTTTTAAGAAACAAACATGGCAGAATTTGTTGCCCGTAGCTCATGTTGAAAGCATTACGCCAGTTAAATTTACAATTGTAAAAATGGAAGCCATTGTAGGGATGACGCGCTGCCAATTTAGCTCTTGAAAACCGATAAATTTATCCACATAGCACCGTTACGATCCTTATATGCCAGTTGAATTTTAAAAGACAAATGTATCTACTAGCAATTGAGCATTATTTAATGTACTTTTCTGTATTTAGTCAACTTAAAACTATTGTCTGATCGGTTGTCAGGTTGAAATTTCGAAAGTTCATTATTATTTAAAAAAAATCTAACTAAATATTTCGTTGAAGGGCAGACTATTTTTCAGAATTTTCAGAGGTTGAAGACTAATAACCCCAGATAACACGCACAAAAAGTGAAGTTATTTTGAAGTTATGCATTTTTAAGATCCACTTGTCAAGTCTGTCGTCAAGTACTTTTAGTAAAAAATTGTTATTCGAACACACCTACACTGTTGTTATGACTCATTAGAAATGTATTTCACTTGACCCATATATTTCAGTTTTTAGTACTGTGAATTTTTAATGTAATTAAATCAACCTGTATCCTAAATATATAAAACTAATAGAATCTGAAGCGCGATGATGTTTCAAATATTTTTGCTCTATACGTTTTCAAGACAGAAAAGTCAAACTCGAATACTCCCGAACATAAAAAGGTGCACTCGACTTTCTCTTTTCGGTGAAATAATTGCCCATTTTCAGGATTTTTCCCCAAAAAAATGTCGCCGGGGGCAGAGATGCAAATTAATGCTTAAAAAAGATAAATCTATTATCTTATTGTAGAATTTTTTTCGGCGGAATTTATGCTTATGCACAAAAACAATCCACTTGTATTTGCACCTACCACAATCGACTGTTTTATGAAAATTTGTCTATAATTTAAAGTTTAAAATATCTCGAAGCTCAATACTATAATTTAAGTAAAAACATGTATACAAGATGCAAAATATCCTAAATTATGCACCGTTATTAAATTTTTAAAGCCCATAGAAACAGATGTAAACAATTCAAATTAACCAATTCGAATTGAATCTGAGTTCCATTTCTTTTGTTTAATTTCAACTGGGTATCCCCCTGATAATATTTGTGAGGAATATCATAAATTAAAGATAAGAACGCAATTTCTACATTTTTGTTGTTTCTTTGGTTTATTTGTTTTTGAGTTATAGATAAAGAATGGTTTCTTTGTTAAATTTTTGAGAATTGTGAACACAAGTTTTTTTCTCCCTTTTTTTTTCAAAACTTGATAAATTGTATCTAAATCCTATATCAATAGCAATAAGATAATTTGAAAACTCCAATGTATTTCTTTCATAGAATTAAGATATATTTCTACAACATTGGAAACCATCAAAGGAGAACAAGGTAACACATTATAAATGGTTAAACTTCAATACAAATGGATGCAAGTAGGTTGTTGGTATAATTCAATGAGACAACAGTCAATGAACATAAAATATACGACCTTTAATAATGGACAGATATCTAAATATTATGGCAAGCTCTATACGATCTCTCGTTGAATAAAAATGTGAACGAAGTTAGCAAAGACCATACAATATCTACCATCAACACCATATTTCCGAAAAGGATAAACAAAACCCTACTACATTACATGTATTACCTTTATTACAAGATTTCATTATCCGTTCCCTTTATCATTGAATTGAAGTCAGAATTGTAGCATATTGTTTTAAATTTGATATTTTATTTCAAAATGGTCGATGCTTTGTGTCTATTGGTTTTTTTTATGTTACTTGTTTTTTATAACTTCAAAAATACATCAGTTTCAACTAATATTTCGACTAATTTTCCGAGAGAAATTCTGCAGACAATCCGTGAGGATTATTTGTATAAGATCAACTTGTTAATGATTTTGTTGGTGAAATTGATTGATGAACTTTCGGTATAGTTTTGACGTACTTGTACTGATACTACGTACATAAGTTCATTTTTCATTATGTTGCATATTTCGACATTCTGATTTTGGTTTACGTTAATGCGTATAGCATGTTCACGTGACAATTTCGAATTCGAATAAGTTTGACCTTCGTTTATAGTTATCACAATTTCTCTCTTTTAGAAACAATAACTGGGTCGTCTGAGAAGAACCACATGATCGTAACCACTGTTGCCATCATTCTTGTAACTGTAGGGATATTAATCTCTGTTTATAACTTTCGAAACAAAGGTCTGTTATTTATAAATAACGTTGTTCTGTTTATTTTATTCGTTTTATCTTTATAATTTGTTTTGTGGTGAACTGAGGTAAACTCAAGACAATACAGCATAGTGTACAAAATGGAAAATCTTTTATAAATGTCAAGAAGTTCTATTAGCACACCATCTATTTTACCTAATTGGTGGAAGGGAGTGATCAGGTTTTGTAATTGAACGACATTTTAATATGAACTTATAATTAGGGATACTGAAAACTAATCAACACATGTTACATTATACTTTAGAATGGACATAATTTAAACTTGGCAGAGGTAAACCGATGTTGAATGCGTAAATCGATAAAAAAAGGACCAATTAAAGGTAACAAACAAAACTAAGGGAATCACATGAACTCTAACCGGAACGAGACCGGGGGGGGGGGGGGGGGGGGGGCTTAACAGGGTAAACGTATCCTGCTATGCATGCATCACCCTCCATACGTATTAAGTCAAAGAGAGACGAAAGACACCAAAGGGATATTCTAACTTATAAGTAGAAAACAACCTGACAATGGCATGGCAATAAATAAGAAACGATCAAAGACAAACAGTATAAGAAACAAAACATAGAAAACTAAAGACTGAGTAACACGAACCCCACTTAAAAACTGGAGTGATATCATGTGCTCCGGAAGGGTAAGCATATACTGCTTCATATGTGGCACCCGTCATGTTGCTCATGAAATTACAAAACGGGAAAATAATAGTCACGACAGCTGGGACATTTCCATCGTCACCTGTGAAATGTAACAATCGGGAATAGGACGCAATCGGTTAAATTACAGACCAGAGGCCTCTACTGGTATCTAAAAATGTAAGACCGCGTAAACATGTCGTATTTCAGTCGTTCTTGCTCATAACTCTGTTGGAGCATTTTTTGTGTAAAACATAAAGTCCGTATGGTGTGAACATGCATGAGCTGAACATACTGACTGAGACATGTACACGCTAAACGATGTAGCAGAGGGTATGTTACTGCTGAGAAATTGGAAGTTGACAATTGGAAAGTTGAAATCATCATGTTTGTCATAAATTCATGTTTGAAGTAGGCCATTGGTGTTAATATCGAGGAAAAAGATCAAGATAAGATGTAAACACTCATTGAAATGTGGGTTGTTGAGTGACAGAACATCATCGATATAACTGAAAGTGAAATTAAGGAACTTTGCAATATACGGTTACTTTTTTGTTTTTGAGAAGGTTATGCATTTTGCTTCATACGAGTACAAAAACAAGTCGGCTTGTTGTGGTTCACATTTAAGACCATCCATGATACGTAATTTAGACCCGACGTAAGGATATAACAAATACGAAATCAAATCAGAGTTGTCTTTCTTCCATCAATTAAAAAATCCGAAAAAAGTGCTTTAACTATAATTATAATGTTTTCTATATAACGTTTAACTTAACCTTTGTGAGATATCAAGAGTAATAAAAATCAGATTTAAAAAGATATTAGAAACAGTAAATACGAATTTAAAATTACTTTTATTAAAATAAGGCTCCTCATATAAGCCATGCACGGTGATGACATTTTTACGTAAATGCGTTAACCCAACCCATTTAAGTACAACATTTAATCGTCGTGTAACGTTGAACTCCTTTTAAGTACATGTAAAATTCATCATTGATACTCCTGTTACCTTTTTTTATAAAAGATACAGCATTTTTGGTAAGTTAACAAAACAAGTTTCACGAACTAATTATTTAAAACAGTACAAACAGTCTGAAATTAAAATGAGCAAAACTAAATAGCACACCAACCACACTTCCCTTTGCTAATACAACTATTTTTCTCATGTGAACTCAGGTACTGATAACAGCAGCAAAACAAAAGACATAAACATAATGCAAGAAGTTCAACCAGGCGCCCAGGGAAATGTTCAGCATAATCAGGTTTTTATCATGAAGTTATAGACCTTTAAGTAAAATGTCTGAAAGACCAAACTGTGAGCTATTGCTGTTACTTGACGTACGTTCTTTTTTCGAACGGTTTTGTTCTTCTTTCAAACCACCTTGCAAAATGGAACAAAATTTGACAATTTTCATCATTCGCGTGTGTAGTCGTTTATTAGATTGGTAAGATACACCATTGTGTTTGACGTCTGTCAGTCTCAAGACCTACACAAGACGAGTTGGAAATGTTTTACCGTACTTTACTTTAGTGATACTTGGATAATGAAATGTTACTTTATTTAAACATACTAAGTTATATGTTCACGATTCATACCCCTACACCAGGACGGCTGGATACAAACTCGCTGTTAATTTAACATATTTAAACATTGTATCCGGGGCTCATAAAGGGTATATACTATATAGTAATATATTATATTATAATTATTGTATGGCATTCTGAACTAGATGTTATGAAGCGTAAATGTTTTTTCATATAGTCTAGAAGAGCTGGGATGTAAAATAGTTATCCCACTCGGACTTAGTGTGTCAGTGTAAGATCACCCTCTGACCTCCGGCCATCGGGGTGATCTTACACTGACACTCCGCGTCCTCATTGGATAACTATTACAGAAGAAAACAAACATATTATTTTCCATACAATTTAAACTATTCATTAACTTCATACGGATGAATTATGTTATGAGCACTGTGTTATGTATGATTTTCATCCAACGATGTGTAAGACCAATGGACTGTCAATATATGGACAAATGCACAAATTGAAAATAACGAAACTTTCAAATTAAATATGTCATTCGATATTCTCAAAACTCTGATTTTTTTTCTTACATCTTTAAAATGCGTCCCTGTTTATAAAGTATAATATTTGTTTTCATCAATTTATATTTAAATCTTAATCCAATAAAAAAAACGTGTGTGAATATGCAGGTGGACTGTCAATCCATAATAGCACTTTTTATCTCGGGAAAGCTAGTGACAGTTGTCCCAGATCATATAATCTGCATCATGCGTTTAAATGATTAAATCTTTTTTTAAAATACACATATTATTTCAGAACTCCTCGGGTTTGGTTTACATCGAGGTTGACTTCGAACCAAAACAGGAAAAGAGTGGTCCTAAGTTGTTCTACGTTCATGGTTCAAATAGGCGATCGCCGTATGCTGATATAGACTTTTTGGCTAAAGCTGATCCATTACCAGAAAGTGAATCCGACGACAATGAAATTGAAGAAGATGACTTTGTTACACTAGAAGATGTACAACGATGGAAAATTGAAATTTCGGAATAATTTTTTATTTTACCATTATTTTTTCGATTAGCTGAATTAGATCGCATGAGTTCAAATCAAAAATCAGCTTCAAGTCTACACTGTTTTTTTCTCAATCGATTTATGAATTTCGAACAGCGGTATACTACTGTTGCCTTTATTCATTGATTGCTGTCATTTGGCGATAGTTTTATTCTCTGAGAAATTGAGTGGTAACATATTTTCGGAAGTAAGTGATCAGGAACTAACTTTAACTAAAAGATACATAAAATTGTTTTAAACCAGTGCAATACATCCAAGCATCTTTGTTCTTAAATTGAAGTAGCAACTTTTTCGGGTAAAAGATGGTCTTTTACGGGTTTTCCTGTTCCTGCTTTTGCGTTAAATATATAAATTGTTTTAGGATTTCAGTTTCCCTGAAACAAACTTACATGAATAAGGTTATTCTGTATAGCTGTTTGTCGTGAACATTAGTGTTCAAATAGATATGAGAAGATGTGGTATGAGTGCCATTTGAATTTTACCGGCAATTTTCAAAATACTTATGATATAATTATTTGATAAAATCTAATTATATTACAAATCAGAGAAAGTCACCTTTTAATCATACAATTCACTTAAATTTTATGTAAATTTTACAGTCTATTTACATTGGATATTGTGTGAAATAAAATCTTGTAAATTTCATGTATACGTTAAGTTCGAAAGTAATTCAGGTTAAAGCTGTGAAAAATTTCATTGCATTATCGTGAAAGTGAAATATACCTTGCTATTTACAGTACTGTCAATTTTACTATTGTTAAACCTGTGTAAAATCACTCATTTAAAAAACGGTGTTTGTAGAATGTTATTATTGTAACATTACACAAATTGAATCTTTGTTTTGATTTAATACTGAAAATTTACATAGCTTATCTTTTTATGGCTGTTGGTGATATGAAAATTTATTTGTTTATAGAGTTTTATTTAGTGGAATTTAATCATATATCCGTCAATTGCATGTGTTTAAGTCATCGCTGATAGATATAGAATTTAAAAAGAAGCCATTGATCGCGCACTTCATCCAAAGGAATTTAGATTTTAACTTCTTCCATAAATACAGAAACCTTTTTATTTCAAAGTGGCAATTCTGAAATATGATGTAAAGGGATATTCTCTACTTTTATAATATACACTGTCATATGCATGCGGTTTTAAACAAATATTTGGCTTTTCGCTCCAGTGTGACTGAAGATAATTTATTAGTGACAGTTACCATTTGGTCTTAACCTGACTCGTTTTGGCTTTAGAACTTTTTTGATCTGAGCGTCACTGGTTAGTCTTTTGTGGACGAAACGCGCGTCTTGCGTATTACATTTTAAACCTGGTACCTTTTGTTAGCTACATTGTATTATTCGTATGTTTCTCTGTCCTATATGTTCTCCATTTATTTGTATTGTAGTCCTGTCATGTAATGTTGTCATTTTAATGTTATATTTAACATTGCCATAAAAGCGGGAGGTTTGGCTAGCCACAAAACCAGGTTCAACCCACCATTTTTTTCTTAAAATGTCCTGTACCAAGTCAGGAAAATGACCATTGTTATATTATAGTTCATTTCTGTGTGTGTTACATTTTAATGTTGTGTTTCTGTTGAGTCGTAGTTCTCCTCTTATATTTGATGATATTCCCTCAGTTTTAGTTTGTAACCCGGATTTGTTTTTTTCTCAATCGATTTATGAATTTCGAACAGCGGTATACTACTGTTGCCTTTATTCATTGATTGCTGTCATTTGGCGATAGTTTTATTCTCTGAGAAATTGAGTGGTAACATATTTTCGGAAGTAAGTGATCAGGAACTAACTTTAACTAAAAGATACATAAAATTGTTTTAAACCAGTGCAATACATCCAAGCATCTTTGTTCTTAAATTGAAGTAGCAACTTTTTCGGGTAAAAGATGGTCTTTTACGGGTTTTCCTGTTCCTGCTTTTGCGTTAAATATATAAATTGTTTTAGGATTTCAGTTTCCCTGAAACAAACTTACATGAATAAGGTTATTCTGTATAGCTGTTTGTCGTGAACATTAGTGTTCAAATAGATATGAGAAGATGTGGTATGAGTGCCAATGAGACAACTCTCCACCCAAGTCAAAATTTTTAAAAGAAAACCAATATAGGTCAAAGTACGGTCTTCAACACGGAGCCTTGGCTCACACCGAACAGCAAGCTATAAAGGGTCCCGAAAATTACTAGTGTAAAACCATTCAAACGGGAAAACCAACGATCTAATCTATATAAAAAACGAGTAACGAGAAACACTTATGAACCACATCAACAAACGACAACTACTGGACATCAGATTCCTGACTTAGGACAGGTGCAAACAATTGTAGCGGGTTTAAACGTTTTAATGGTACCAAACCTTCACCCTTATCTGAAATAGATAAATTTGATCTATGATACAATGCAAATACAAAATAAATAAACTAAAGGAAGAATAATTAAAGTAATATGTTATACCGCTGTGAAATATTAAACAATTTGAGAAACACAATATGCTTGAACAAAAATATCAGCCATTTGAATTTTATTTTGGAAGAGAAATTGCTACCCGGTGTAACCATGTATAGATAAAACTTTTATATTCTATTCGCCATTATCTCAATATTTCATGTTTTGAATGCATACACGTCAATCAATGGAATACTTCATGTGCCAAACTTGGTACAAATTATACTAAAATCAAACATTCCGAAACACAGAATTTTAATCCAAATCACTTGCTTAGTTTTCGTCTACTTTTATAAATGACTCATTTATGACAGTTTTTTTTTTTAAAGTAGTACATTTAAAAAATGTTGAATATCAATTATGCCATAGTTGTAAAGATACCATTATATCGTATTAATAAAAAAAAAAACAATGTAGTGTGAATCTTCCTTTTAACTTTTCCCACAAAAACTGACATATGTTTTATATAGTTTGTTCAGCATAACAATATTCTCTTTTTGTATTTCGATTCTTAATATTTACAAAAGTATTAAAATTCTTTAAGTCTTTATGTGTATTTTAAATACGCGAAGCAATAAAATCGCAATTCTGAGCTATATTAGCTTGTTTGTTGGAAGGTTACATAATATTGACCTCTGATGTTGATTGAGGAACTTGTTACATTTTATAAAAAAATATATAATTCTATAGTTCGACTACAGAAATAGTTTCAATCACAGTTGAAAGTCCAAAGCACAAAACAACAGTACATATACTTTTTGGTTTATAGAAAGATATTTACCCTGCATATGTAAATTTGTACATTCTAATCACTTCTATTTTCCCCTAAAATAGATTTAACCATGTAAAGATTATCAGAAAAGTTGGAAATTAGCATCATACTTTAATGTTCTTTAATTTGGAAACACTTAAGGACCACAACTATAACCGAAGGTCATCAAAAGGGCAACATACAGCCATCAATGATAAACAGTTGTTTATGCAATATGTCGTCCCGTCACTTCATCTGTACTATTATTTGTCTGTTTGTCTTTTTATTTTTGGCCATGGCGTTGTCAGTTTGTTTTCGATCTATGAGTTTGACTGTCCCTCTGGTATCTTTCGTCCCTCTTTTCAAGCTTCTTGTTATGACAAATGTGAACGAATCAATCAGAAACTATCAAAAATCTGCAATTTACACAAATTCTGTAAAACATTAAGATATAACCATGAAACAACTGCTGACGGTCTTTAACTTGGGACGAGGCCAAAAAAGCATTTTTAGATATCATACAAAGATAGCTCAGTGGATGAACAAGAGGCACACAAACATGCGCAAAAACAATCAACAGAGAAAAAGTGCACAACTTTTAATTAAAGGTATTTTAAATATAAGCACAAGACAAAAACACGATAATCAAAATCATACCGTAGATACGAACGATCGATGAAAATGAAGAATCTCAACATTTTCAACCTTCAATCATCCTAAAATCGGTTGCTGTGCATCAAAGAAGATTTCATACTTCATAAACCATTCAGGAAGATACGATCTTGCGAAATGCCCGAACAAAATGTTTAAAATTGAAATGCAAGAAAACTAGAAGAACATTATGGTATTGTTTTAATCTATGAATTAGCAAATGATGGTTAACAAAAAATACATTACGAAGCAATTAAAAAACAACAACAGTTAATTCACATTTTATAATTAATAAATCTATAAGCTAGTTAGCATATTTGAAGAACAATTCGTAAACTCGTTAGGTTTATGAATAATATTACCGTAAAAAAAACTAGATGCAAACTACTATATTTTAAATTTGGCATGCGTTATTATGCGTCCACAATTAATCTCTATAACTGGAATAAAATCAATAAAGTATTCGTTGGCTCAGTCTCGCACTTTTTGGAGTTAATGGAGTTCTCCTACTTCTTTATTTGTATTGATTTTTATATTCTGAATAGATTTTTATAGATTCTAACATCAGTAATCTGCTGTTACCTCGAATATGACCAATGTATTATATGTTTAAATGTATGTAAAGGTTCTTTAATAAATTTGTATGCCTGTTGTATTTATCCAATTTTTAAAGTAAAATAGTATTATTCAAATACTTTACTGGTTATCTTAAGCCTCAAAATACACAAAGGCAATACATGAAAATAGCATTATCAATTATTTCCGCAGGAAACGTGTACAAATCTATAGTCCATCGTATAGCCTTTAACAATGGATAAACCCATATTGTATAGCCAGTTATGAAAGCCCATGAAATGACAAATTGTGCAACATTTTAAACGAGAACTCAGACAACAATCAACGACAACTACAGAATAGCACGCCCTAATTTGAGAGAAGCACTTAAAGAATATGGCGGGATGAAACATGCTTGTGAGATCTCAACCCTCCTCTAACCTGAAACAGTGGTGTAACAGCGACACATTATAACATTATTACAATCTGTAAACATCATTTGAAAATCACTAGACTCATCGGATTGGCACGAGGCACAAAAACCAAGCAAAAACAAAAACACAAAGTACCGAACTTAGGATACCAGTAGCTATTGAAGGCTTTGTCAATTTCAATTACAACTAATACATATATCATGTTCTCACAGACTTAAATACCAATAAGTACATTTGTAACATACAGGTTTAAAGTCTAGAGACAATGTTCATGAGAATTTTCTAATGTTTCAATAGTACTTCAATCAAATTTCCTTTTATTTCAAGTACGGCAATACAATATCCTATACGTTAAATCCCTATTTGACATAAATGTTATAAAATAGATGGCTGTTCCTAATTGAAGATATTCAGCTTAAAAAAAATATATTTTTATTTTTTGCCTGTTTATTATATACAATTTCATATAGGAATATTCGGCATTCAAAACAGCAGAGTATGTTTTTACTGAACAGAGGTAAGCCATAGATTAAAAGCATTGCGATAAGATAAGCAAATTTTAATCATTTTTCAATTATTTATTGCAGCATATTTCAGTATGCTTGTGTTAAATCTTACTATACGGTATGAGTTTTGCTCATTGATTAGTGACCTATATATGCTCAAATGCACATCATTTGGTCCCTGGTGAATAGTTATCTCATTGGCAATAATGTCACATGTCCTTATTTCTATATTACATTAGCATATATTTGTTGCATAGCTAGACTGTATATCACTTATTTAGACATTCCTGTATTGTAAATTATCAATCAATCGACCGGTACGAGTTAATACAAGAGCTAATATAGAGAACGACTTGTTAAAATGAAGTTTTTATCATATATTTTCAATGCATCCCAAAAGTATGTTTCCATACTACTGAACCAGGAAACTGTTTTTTATTTATGTTTCTCGTCTCCAACTATGTCCTGAAGCTAGAATGTAAAGGTTAGCATGTTATTCTCAACTTGTTTGATTATCAGATTATTTGAGGAACGGTTTGGAAAAGAAAATGATTCCCCAAGGTCCTCTCGTCGTCCATTCGGGTCTATGTTAAAGCCAATCATCACAAATAGACATAATAATGTTAGTACTTTATGTTTGTCATGTAAGAACATGGTAAGTAATGGTACGAAAAATTCATCATAATAAATGGGTGTAAAATAAAACAAAAATTTCGAACAACAATGCCCTTAAACGTTCTTGATTGGAAATAAAATCGATTTGAGGCCAGAAACACTGAGTTCATGACATACGGATTAACCGAATTGAACTGGAAGAAAAAATGTCGCTTACTCCTTTCAAAACTTTAATTATCAGTTGACAGTGTGAATTTTGAATAAATATGAAGTCTTTTGATATTCATTACAATAGTAATCCTTAAACTGTACTGCAGATCGGATTTATAGGTTATAAGTATCACGAGAGAAAAATGAAATGGAATTTTACACTGATATCCGATATGAAAAATGTAATGCAATTATTCATCATTCAATTAACACAGATATTTCGTCTGTAGCTGACGAACGAATCGCTGTTCCCCCACATGAGACACGTGTAACCCTTCATATGTATGGATAAAGTGTACTGTCGAAAGATGAAAGATTTCTTTTTATCTGCAGGTCGTCGTTTTACCTTTGGAATACTTTTACTTCTACTAATGCCAATAGGTAAGACATTATAATATCTTGTCATATTTTGTAAAACAAGTTTCTTAAATCAGTGTCAGAATACACATCTAAGAAATGAAGTTTCTGTACAGTCTTAAAAGATGACCCGTGAGCTGTTTTTAAATCTAGATTCTATATTTTCCAGTTTTGTTTTTTTATCGTTAATTGTTTAAACTGAAATGTTTTGTTATAAGTAAAAGGGTTAACAAACCGTTCTTGTATAATTTATGCAATTGACATTTATTTTTGTTTATATTGTACTGTTTCAGATGGAAATTCTAACAAAACAGATATAATTTATTATATGAAAGAAAACTCCACAGCTGTTCTTGAATGTCCATTCAAAAGTGTTTCAGGAAGTATCACTTGGATGACGATTAGTAAAAATTACTTGTCAGAAATACTTGCAGTTGGCAAAACTGTAAGGCCAGGTAATGAAAATATCAAAGTTGTTGGTAATTATACCAGTGGAGAATACAGTCTTGAATTACAACGAGTCACAAAGGCTGACGAAAAGATATATAAATGCATTTTAAATAATGCCGAAAATCTACATGATTTTGAGATATCAATGCGTCTATCAAGTAAGTATTATCTTAATTTTATTGCTGAACATTTTTTATTTGTAAAAGTTGGATACATTTACTATAATATACACGGTACCAGATGCGCATTTCGACAATTAATGTGTCTTCAGTGATGCTCGAGGCCAAAATCTAATACAAACGCAGAAGAGCTGATCAACCAAAAGGTCTTAAAGTATAGCCGAAATCGAGCAAGGAATCAGAGCTCTGCATGAAGGAGATATATTCCTGAATATAACTTGATTACTGTTGCCCTTGCAGAAAAAGACGTCATTTCTGGTTGTGGGATGTATATAGATACCTTTCGACCTAATTGAAAAGGAGGCGGAAGATAACAAATGACATTCAAAATTCATAAGCTGCAGAGAACCGAGAACGTCATTGCAAAAACAAACGAAAAGAGACGAAAAGACAAAACTCAGTCTACAAAACACAACCACTAGCAAGACAAACCAAACCAAAAAAATCATAAGCTGAAGAGAACCGACAACGCCATTGCAAAAACAAACAAAAAGAGACGAAAAGACAAAACTCAGTCTACACAACACAACCACTAGCAAGACGAACCAAACCAAAAAACCGGGATGATCAATGGTGCTCTGGAAGTAAAAAAAAATCATGCTCGATATGGGGTATAAATATTTTAAAAGGCCTGATAGAACGAAATGGAAATAACTGTCATACCAATGAATTTTTTGGTATTCCGTGATAATTATCCAATCCAGCACTTTCCTTCGAAAATATGACACATAAATCGCTAATTTCCTTTTCCATGCAGATGTCCCCCCAAAGTAGCCACTATGCTTTAATCAACAATACGAGATGGTATATATTGTATTGTGTATGGAGTATAGTAATAAC